TTGTGGATTATTTAACTCTAGTTGTATTTTGTTGGTGAGTTTAGTAAATTTGGCGTTGCGGTTGGTGGTGCTCGGAGACGTAGGCTATTTTCGCCGAACTCCGTTATCAATTTTTGTGTTCTTTTCTTTCTCATATTTTATTTATTTGTGTTGGCTTATTTTCGTTTGGAGTAGTGCTTTCCATATTTGTTGGAGGGGTATTTTTGTCTGCTGCGCTTGTTGTGATACCCCCAACAAGTGGTATCAGAGCCGAAGGTTCGTCCCAGGCTCATTTGGAGAGGCGAGCACTGCATTCGGGTCCGAGATGTCCAAGGAGGTCAAGGGCGCATCATCATCTTCATTCATTCCGGCAAGGATGGTGATGTCGAACGTCAAACTCCCGATGGAGATCTTCGACGGGACCGGTCATTTCGGCATGTGGCAAGGCGAGGTGCTGGATTGTTTATTTCAGCAAGGCGTCGGCATTGCGATTGAAAAGGAGAAGCCAACAGACGTTGAAGAGAAGTACTGGAAGAATATAAACCGCCTAGCATGTGGAACAATTCGTTCATGTTTGTCGAGGGAGCAGAAGTACGCGTTCAAGAATGAGAACTCTGCTCACACTTTGTGGAAGGCTTTGGAGGATAAATTTCTGAAGAAAAAGCGGCCAGAATAAGCTCCTTATGAAGAAGAGATTGTTTCGTTTTGAGTACCAGCATGGCACATCGATGAATGATCACGTCATTGCATTCAATCAGTTAGTTGCAAATTTGTTGAATTTGGAAGTCACATTCAGCGATGAAGATTTGGCTCTAATGTTGTTATCATCACTTCCAGACGACTTCGAGCACTTAAAGACTACTCTACTCCATGGGAAGGACGATGAAAATCTTGCAGTAGTCAGTTTTGCTCTGTATAGCTATGAGTTGACGAAGAAGAACAAACAAGAGACAAAGAATGCAGTAACAAAAGATGAAGCGTTAGTTGTAAAAGGTCGGTCAAAGAGCCAAAAGAAGAATAGACGAGGAAGATCACGTTCCAAAGACAAGCTTGAAAAAGACGAGTGTGTTTTCTGCCATGAGAAGGGACACTGGAAGAAAGACTGTCCTAAGTTGAAGAAGATGGGCAAATCTCCTCAAGATGCATATGTTGCTGAAGGTGGAACCTTCATCATCTCATCCAGACGAATGAGTTTTGGATTCAGGATGCACCTACCATATGTCTCCCATAAGGGATTGGTTCTTCAATTTTCAGGAGATCAATGGAGGGATTGTCTATATGGGTAATGACAATGCCTGTAAGACAACTGGGATAGGTACAATCCGTCTGAAGAATCGCAATGGTTACACCAGAGTTTTGACGGATGTTCGGTACGTGCCGAGTTTGAAGAAAAATCTCATCTCATTAGGAGCCTTGGAATCCAAAGGCTTGGTAGTGACCTTGCGAGATGGAGTTATGAAGGCTACATCCGGCTCGCTCGTGGTGATGAGAGGCATAAAGAGGAATAATTGGTATTACTATGAAGATGATACAGTTGTTGGGACAGTAACAGAAGCAGATTCCACCAACAAGGAGTCTGAAGCAGTCAAGTTGTGGCATATGCGTTTGGGACATGCTGGTGAAAAGTCCTTGCAAACATTGGCAAAACAAGGATTGTTGAAAGATGTCCAAGTGTGCAAACTAGACTTTTGTGAGCACTGTGTTCTAGGAAAGCAGAAGAGAGTGAAGTTTGGAACGACTATCCATAATACCGAAGGTGTCTTGGATTATGTTTATTCGGACGTGTAGGGACCTTCTAAGACCCCATTATTAGGCGAAAGACGCTATTTTGTCACTTTTATCGATGACTTTTCTAGACGTGTTTGAGTGTACACTATGAAGACGAAGGATGAAGTGCTTGGTGTCTTCATTGCATTGAAGACACAAATTGAGAATCAGACTGGAAGGAAGATCAAGGTCATACGAACGGACAATGGTGGAGAATATACAAGCGATCCCTTTCAAGAAGTTTGCCGTAAAAATGGCATTGTTAGGCACTTCACCGTTAGACGGACACCACAACAAAATGGGGTGGCGGAGCGCATGAATCGAACATTGGTGGAGAAAGTTCGATGTATGTTGTCCAATGCTGGTTTGGGCAAGAAGTACTGGGTTGAGGCTGTAACATACGCGCAACACCTCATAAATCGTTTGCCGTCATCTGCAAAAGATGGTAAAACACCGTTGGAGGTATGGTCGGGAAAACATGTTGCTGACTATGGATCTTTACATGTATTTGGGTGTCCTACGTTCTATCATGTGAAGGGTGCAAAGTTAGATCCAAGAGAGAAAAAGACTTTGTTCATGGGAATCACAATTGGCGAAAAAGGGGTATCATTTTTTGTGTCTTGAGACGAACAAAACTGTGTTTAGCAGGGATGTTACATTTGTTGAACAAAGTATGATAAAGACGATGCAAACCCAACAAGTGGAGTTGACACCGAAGCAGGTGAAGATAGATGCGATGACGAGACAACCAGCTATGATCGACGAAACAATATCAAACGATTCGTCGGATGATGAAGTTCAGACTCATGAACCATTAGATTTACCCATTGCATTGAGAAAGCCCAGACGAGAGATTCAACAACCTGCTCGATAGGCGGATATGGTGGCTTATGCACTTCTAATTTTTTATGATGACATACCTTTCACTTTTCAAGATACAATTCGAAGTTTAGAAAATGTGAAGTGGAAATGGGCTATGGAGGAAAAAATGTTGTCTCCCCAGAAGAATCAAACTTGAAAGGTGACGCAACTACCAAAAGACAAAAGGGCGATAGGATGCAAGTGGGTATTTGCAAAGAAAGATGGATTTCCTCAGAAGAATGATGTGCGCTACAAGGCAAGGTTGGTGGCTAAAGACTACGCTCAGAAGGAATGAGTTGATTATAATGAAGTGTTTTCTCCAGTTGTAAAGTACTCTTCCATTAGAATTTTGTTGGCCTTAGCAGCACAGTTGGATTTAGAGCTAGCTCAACTTGACGTGAAGACGGCGTTCTTACCCGGAGATTTAAATGAGGAAATCTACATGACTCAGCAAGAAGGATTCAAAATTCTTGGAAAAGAGAACTGGGTCTGTAAGTTGAACAAATCGTTGTACGGACTGAAGCAATCTCCGAGGCAGTGGTACAAACGGTTTGATAAGTTTATGATTGGGCAGAAGTACACACGAAGCACACATGATCATTGTGTGTATTTACGCAAGTGCAAGATGGATCTTTCATTTACTTACTCTTGTATGTGGATGACATGTTGGTTGCATCAAAGAGCCAAGTGGAGATTGATCAATTGAAGGCTCAGTTGAATCAAGAGTTTGAGATGAAAGACTTGGGGGAAGCTTAGAAGATTCTCGGGATGGAGATAAGCAGGGACAGAGTGAGAGGCGCATTTGGAGGCACCGCTAGTAGTTGAGTTGGGAGTGGGAGCAAAATTAGTCAAGGTGGAGAATTGTTAGATTTTGATTAATTTTATGTCCCACATCGGATGTGTACCAAAGATGTGTAGGATCTTTTTAGTATAAATAGGTACCTTGCCTTTGGGTTACAATTGCACCTTATTCTATTCTCTCCTATTTAGAATGAAATCCTTAAATAAGGAAATCTTAATTTGTGGGTTATTTAACCCTAGTTGTATTTTGTTGGTGAGTTTAGTAAATTTGGCGTTGCGATTGGCGGTGCCCAGAGACGTAGGCTATTTTCGCCGAACTCCGTAATCAATTTTGTGTTCTTTTCTTTCTCATCTTTTATTTATTTGTGTTGGCTTATTTTCGTTTGGAGTAGTGTTTGCCATATTTGTTGGATGGATATTTTTGTCCGCTGCGCTTGTTGTGATACCCCCAACAAATCCATCTAAATAATAAATAAGTCAAAAAATATAAACGCGTAAATAAAATAAATGTATAAATATATACTATTAAATATATAAAACGTGCATATATTTCGACATATCAAACAATATTTAAGCCAAAATACCAATTTAACAAGCAAGAAAGAAAACATACTCGAATTAATAAGTACTAATCAAGGTATTTACTGTTCAGTCGCAAACTTGGACAAAATTGAGGAATAAAACTCCAATATGGGACAAAAATAAAGTCTCCGCAAAATTGACAAAATGAGAGACAGTAAAATAACGCTACTGCCAAAAAGAGAAACCCGTCTCTTCTTGAAAGTTGTGCAATACTAAATAAAATGTTACAAATTCTACCCCCTACTAAGCATATATATAATTTTTTTTTTTTACAGGGACCTTCCTGTTTCCGGATCCACAGGGGAACCGACTAATACGGATTCGAGCTGGGTAGGACCACAAGGAGTAGTGCTTGCCATATTTGTTGGATGGATATTTTTGTCCGCTGCGCTTGTTGTGATACCCCAAACAAATCCATCTAAATAATAAATAAGTCAAAAAATATAAACGCGTAAATAAATTAAATGTATAAATATATACTATTAAATATATAAAACGTGCATATATTTCGACCTATCAAACAATATTTAAGCCAAAATACCAATTTAACAAGCAAGAAAGAAAACATACTCGAATTAATAAGTACTAATCAAGGTATTTACTGTTCAGTCGCAAACTTGGACAAAATTGAGGAATAAAACTCTGGGACAAAAATAAAGTCTCCGCAAAATTGACAAAATGAGAGACAGTAAAATAACGCTACTGCCAAAAAGAGAAACTCGTCTCTTCTTGAAAGTTGTGCAATACTAAATAAAATGTTACAAATTCTACCTCCTACTAAGCATATGTATAATTTTTTTTTTTTTTTACAGGGACCTTCTGGTTTCCGGATCCACAGGGGAACTGACTAATACGAATTCGAGCCGGGTAGGACCACAAGAACGACAAAGCTCTTCCAAGAGTTTTTAACATTGTTGCATTCTCAGAGCTCTATAAATAAATTTAACTCACTCAACCTTAAGCATGATAATTATTACAAAGAAAAAACAAGGAAAATAGCAAAATCCATAATGGAAATCAGCTTGCTATACCCCTCCCTCGGTCTCGTCCTTATCCTCCTAATCTCCCTCAAATCATTCTCACAAAAGGACAAAAACCACAAACTCCCGCCAAGCCCCGCCCGGTCCCTCCCGATCCTTGGCCACCTCTATCTCCTCAAGACCCCTATCCACCGCACTTACCACCGCCTCGCCCAGACGGTGGGCCCCATCTTCTCCCTCCGCCTCGGCCGCCGCCTTGCAGTGGTCGTCTCCTCCTCGCAGGGGCGGAGCCACCCATGGGCTAGGGTGGGCTCCAGCCCCAGGTAAAAGAAAAAAGAAAGAAAGAAGTTAATTTACTTATGAGATTGTTATTGTGAAATAGCCCCGTGTAAATTTCTTGTTAGCCTTGAATTAGCCCAACAAAACAACAACACAGCCCAAAAAAAAAAAAAATTGAAATTCATTGTTGGACTTGTTAGAACTGATATAAATCACTTTTCTTCTCTCACAAAATAGACGAGCTCTACTAATTGATAGCCTATGTTAATTTGTAATCTGCAAGTTTCAAACCCCTCTATTCTCACCCTTGTTCTTTCAAGCTCTGCAATGGTGAACGGGACATCTTCCATCCGGCGCCGGCGATTGCGAGATCGGTGTGTGGGTGCAGCGATTGCGAAGAACCGAGGAAGCGAGATCGGTGTGCGGGTGCCATCTTATGATATTCTACAGGTATCGTACTTTTGCTCATCCGCCCGCAACCCATGCTCCTGTGGTGGGTGTTTCTTCGTATGTTATCAATGCTAAATGGATTTGAGTTCTGATAGTGGGCTGGGCCATGTGTGTTAATGAATTTGGGGCTTGATTATTATATTTATAAAAGAGTATTATCAACTATTTTGTTTTAATTTTATTTATGTAATTACAATAGTTATAACTTATAATGTTATAGTTTATAATATATATTAAGTTACTATTAACTATCATATAAATATGTATATTAAATACCGGTTCAACCACTGGTTGGACCAGTGAACCAATGAACCAGTAGCTTTACCGGTTCAATGACCGATTCAGTTTTCAAAGCATTGGTCAAAAGTTTTAAAATTTATGTTGAAGTAGAGATGATAACATGTTTTTAGTTTAATTATATGTGTTAATGCTTGTTGATCATGTACTCAATGTTTTTAAAAGGTGTGGATACTTGTTTGGCCTTCATAATAAGATTGTATACAAAACGCACATATCATTCTTGATTATCTTTTCTATTTATTTTTTTCCGTATATTTTAGATTGCTTTTATAATCCAAATGCTTGACTAATTTACTATGTTAACTTGATAGGTTTTAATTATAATGGATGGTGGTACTATGAAAAGAAATACTATTAATTCGTTCTTTAAGCCAAAAGAGCATAAGTCGACAAGCATAGATCGTCTTTCTTCTAATGATGATGTTGCCGCCTCAATTGATATGAGTTCTCTTGAACGTGATCCGGCACTACGTACTCCAATATAGAAATATCTCGTCGATCAAATGGATGAAATAAGATGAGCTTATATTAAGATGGGACTATATCATCGCAATTTCACTAGCCCCGGGTATTTTAAAATCCTAGCTCCGCCCCTGCCTCCTCGGATCTCGTCGAGGAGTGCTTCACCCGAAATGACGTCGTCCTCGCCAACCGCCCCCAGCTGATGATCGGCAAATACATCGGCTATAACTACACCACCGTCGTCAGCTCACCCTACGGCGACCACTGGCGGAACCTTCGCCAGATCACCACCATCGAAGTCTTCTCCGGCACGCAGCTCAATACTTTCAACTCCATCCGTCACGACGAGGTCCGACTCCTTCTGCGGAAGCTTCACCACTTGGTTTTGTCGTCATCCAGGGGATTTGCGAGGGTCGATCTCAGATCTGGGCCTATGGAGGTGACCTTCAACAACATCATGCGAATGGTGGCTGGGAAGAGATACTTCGGGGTGGTCGACGACAGGGATGAGGAAGCCAGGGAGTTCCGGGAGCGGATTAAGGAGGTTCTCGGTTACGGCGGCGTGTCTCACCCGGGAGACCTCATCCCCGTGCTGAGGTGGATCGATTACAAGGGGTTGGAGAAGAAATTGGCAACGGTAAGCGGGAAAATGGACGCCGTTCTGCAGCGGCTGATCGAGGAGCAACGGCGGAGCAAGGGCGGCAACACCATGATCGACCACCTGCTTTCCCTGCAGGAGAATGAACCCGACTACTACAATGACATCACCATTAAAGGAATTATTATGGTATGTATGTCCCTTTTAATTTTTTCACACACATTTTCCCATCTTTATTTGTGGAACTGTATAGTCGGTACCAACTTTCACATGCAAAAATTATATTTAAAATATTATACTCGAATTTATTTAGAATACCATATTATAATTTATTTGGTTTTTTATAATATTATATTTTAATTTAAAATTATGTATGGATGAGATGACTTGAGTATCTTCCAGCTTAGTCAGTGGTCTCATGTTCGAGCCCTGGGAATGCAGCAGTGTTAAAAACTCTTGAGGGAGAGCTTTGTCGCCCTTGTGGTCCTACCCGGCTGGATTCCGGATTAGTCGGTTCCCCTGTGGTTCCGAAAACCGGAAGGTCCCTGTACCAAAAAAATAATAATAAATATTTAAATGATATGACCTCGATTGACTGATATAAACGGCTTCTTAATGGCGGCGGCATTAATTTATATGAGTTTGGGACTTTGACATGGATGAAGACCATCCACTATGCTTTGGGTTCAATCACAAAAAATAGTATGCCACCTAAGAAATACACTTAGTCTAAAAAAACGTACTCTCCAATGCAAACAAAAATAGACCGGGACCTGCTGATGTGGCAGCTAGGAAAAGAGACTCGGTCTACCCTTAAGTCTATTTTAGACCCAAGTAAAGACCTAGTCTCCTTGCATTGGAATATATTTTATTAATTTAAGATAATTTTATCCATGTCATGAAGGACTTGGGTTTATTTACATGTCACATAGGCAAAATAAGACTCAATGCATTGTAGATTAGAAAAAAAATCACATGGTAGGAAATAGTCCTAGTCTATAAAAAATGTTTCATAATAGACCCAATGCAATTAAAAATGGACCTAGTCCAACTTATGTGGCACTAGAAAAAAGAGACAAAGTCCACATTTGGGTCTATTTTGGACCCAAGTGCAAACCTGCCTAGTCATTAATTGTTTACAATTTTCTTTTTTTTTTTAATAGGTATAACATATTTTTTTTTGTATGCATTTATTATTACTATATTTTTATTGGTTGTTAGTATTCTAGACCTAGTACTTTTTTGTTTTGCATTGGATAGATTTTAGATTTTTTAGCTTGGGTTTGTCCATGTCATTACGGACTTAAGTCTATTTATTTGCCACATATGCAAAAAGAGACTCAAAGCATTGTGGGTGCTCTGAGAGTAACCGTCGAACCAGCATTCCTCGAAAAAAAAAAACAACTTATCCCTTTTTTCCTCGTTTAGGAGCCAAGTTTGACCACTAAATATACCAATTGTCTAATTTAAATGACACTAGCACACGTGTACTACACGGGTAATTGTTAAGAAAAATATTTTTTAAATTAAATTATAATAACAATAATTGTTTAAAAAATTAAATATATGTATTTATTAGGCTAATTTGAGGTTTTCATGGAAATTAATTAGCCGTGAGAGCTTTCAAAATAAATCAAGGTTATATTAGTCAATCAGTGTAGTTACCAAAGGTTCCCATAAAACATAAGGATAATATTAGTCAAACCATTATAAAATTACCAAATTAGTTTTTTCAATATTTTTGGAATGTCCAAACTTGTTATTATTATTTAAAATAATGTTATTTTTTATCCAAACCAAACTACGAAGCATGTTTTTTCGGCAAGTAGAATTACGAAGCGTGCGAGGCTGCCACTTAAGCTCAGCGCATTCTGCAATTATATATAGAGAGGATATCAACTGAAAATGTGCTTTATGGCAGGTTATGCTGCTAGCCGGGACCGACACGTCAACAGTGACAGTAGAATGGGCCATGTCGGCCCTACTCAACAACCCTGAGAAACTCCACAAGGCCAGAATCGAGATCGACAATCTTGTCGGGAAAGATCGCCTGATCGAAGAGTCCGATTTATCCAACCTCCCTTACCTTCAACACGTTATCTCCGAGACATTTCGATTGTTCCCAGCAGCTCCACTGCTTGCACCTCACGAGGCATCGAGTGATTGCACCATCGGTGGGTACCATATACCACGTGGCACGATCCTGATTGTCAACGCATGGGCCATCCATAGGGACCCCAAATTTTGGGACGACCCCACCAGCTTCATTCCCGAGCGTCTCGAAGCTGGAGAGGTTGGACCGACAAAGTTGATACCATTTGGGATGGGAAGGAGGTCGTGCCCAGGTATGGGCTGGCCAAACGTATGGTGGGCTTGATCTTAGGGTCTCTAATTCAGAGCTTTGAGTAGCGAAGGGTTGACGAGGCCTTGGTCGATTTGGCAGAAGGGCCCGGGACATCGATGCCCAAATTGATACCACTGGAGGCCATGTGCAAATCCCGTGATGTGCTGCAGAATGTGTTTGGTGCGGCAACCTGAAACATTTGACTCCATTCGACTATAGTGCAGATATTACTTAACGGACATGCCTTTGTTTTCGCTGGTGTTTTACTAAAATAAATAGCATACCAAATAAGATATCCAATATACATTTACAGTTGAACGTATGTAAAATCATGAAATTATGCTTGTGTAATGTACAAGTTCTGAAAACATTTCTTCTTCTGTTAATTGTTAGTGTATATGTTGAAAGTTTGTCTTTTGTGTTATAAACATTAATTTCGGTTGAATGAGAATATGTTTAATTAAACATTTCTACATTCTAATGTTTTATAAATAGATATGATGAACCAAAAATCAAAACTATCGATTAATCGTAAAAATGTAAATAATTGATTTTCCATATCACACATGGTTCCAAAAATAATAATAATAATAATAATTATATGAAAATAATAACCCTTGGAATATATTGTAGAGTTTAGAAACTAGATCTGTAAACGTGAATCATGAAAATATTTCGACAAAACATTTTTCCATTAAAATCAGAGCTCTCAATCTGAGCTTACAGAATATTCTTCACACTCACACGAAGAAGACGACCCTCACACATTTTACATGATCCATAATGACCAGTTAGAATGCGACACGTGCGAGGCCCCAACTAGAACAAAAGCTACAGGAAAAATAATAAAAGCGGAACGCGTTTTTGGGACAAAAACGCTGAGTACAAAACCTAAGAACAAAAAAATACAAAAAATAAAAGATAAATGCATGAAACGCATGCACACGATAACCCAAGTCAACATATATGACGAAATAAAATTTATATATTATGAAAGATGCACTCGTCATCAAAGTAACACCACAACTTGTTCTCCCTCGTTCTAAAGAGCATCTTTAGCAAGAGCTTTTGGGGAGGTTTACAAACCCCAACTCCAAAGTTTTACTATTAAACTTAATAGGTTTAAGGTTTATAAATTCACATCAGGTTTGCAAATGTAAACCTCTCTCAAACTTTATTAAATAATAATATATATTCAAAGTGGATGACCCACTTAATTTTCTTCTTTATTTTTATTATTCTTTATTTTTTTGCTTTTGTTTTTTTTT